ATATATATATGTGAATATCTCAATTTATATATTTATATGCATATTACACACACACACACACACACACACACACACACACATATATATATATATATATATATATATATATATATATATATATATATATATATATATATATATATAGTAAAAAGATAGTCAACTAAACTCTCAAGATTTCCATGAATATCCACCCCAGACCCAACTAAAATTTACATATCAAAACTGCACGATCTAATTTGCAATTTAGATCACGTTATACATGCAGTAGTCAAAGATTTTGTTCTGTCAAATCTAAAACAAGCACATTCTATACTATGCTGCAAATTATACTTTCTTAACTGAATTAATCAAAGATAAAGTCGTGCTAACTTCTCAGTCGAGGACATTACCACAAAATTACACAAAATGTACGATCTGAGACAAACAGTTCAGATTTATCTCATAGCTTGACCGATAGTTTCGAGAATCAGGATTCTATCACACCAAATATCAGGTTTCATTGACCACATCTTCAAACATTTGCTGCCCACAAAGTAGTTACATCAAAGACACAACCTACATTCCAGTTACATCAAAGATCCAACTCATTTCTTACAAATTTTATAACAGACATATGCTGAAGGATTAATTACATGTGATAATAGATGAGACATCCTTGTACTCCAACCCCCACACGAGGAGGGAATACAAGCATGTAGAAATTTTTTACTAAGCAAGAGGTTTCAGGGACCGAATATACAACATATCTGCAACTTAAAATTTATACTCACCGAGTTCAACAGCTATATTTTTCTTCAGATCAGCGGCAAGATTAGAGTAAAAATCACCCCAATATATAATTATGGTTGCTCTTGAACGAAACATGTTACATAGACACCGCCGAGAACATTTCCACTAACACAGATGAATAGAGGATATCTTCTTTATATAGGCACATGGTGAGAGCACTCTCCATGACTTCAGACAACAACTTTCACAGCACCATCAAATTCACAATGGAGTATTCAGCCACTTCCATCCCGTTTTTGTATCTAGTGGTTCCTTGAAAAAACAACCACATCTTCAAATCACATGACTAAACACTAAACCTACAGATGGTCAATGCTACCTAAATTTTAGAAGCTGCCACTCTACCATCTTAAAAGAATCAATAATCTGTAGCCAGTGCTTACACATAAAACGTATCTGTTCTGAAACCGAGTATTTCAAAATACACATAGAGTAACTAATCAATCATTTTCTCAATAGAAATGACACCCTTGAAACTATCGAAAAAACAATTCCCTTTGACTTCAGAACACAATAGAGATATTCTCATAGCATACGAAACTGATATAATCGAATATGCGTACACCTGTGTTCCCCCTAACTGGAATATGATTGGCTGGTGTCCGTCATAAATACAAGCGGACGTGTAGGTACGACAGAGTTTTAGTCTATGACGACGCCCATTGGACTACGCCATTGGCTATTCTATTGGGCTACCTGCGAGTACGACGAGTACCAGTCGATTACTGCTACCGTATTCTACTTGGTTATAGTAGCTAAACCCACTTAGCTACTTCGATCAAATATATCCCTTTCCTGGACTTATCAGAAACAAAGAAGAAAAATTTCAGAATTCCCATGAATTTTGATTTTAGTTACAACATTCACAAACTCATACCCTTCTAAAATATTTCCAATACATAAAACTTGGCCCCACACTTAAATCAATTTAGAGAAACTCCACTTAACACCAGGCGTCAACTTTCAAATTTGCACTGCTTACATCATCTAAACTACAAACTTGCCAAGGCAACGTAACATGTAATAGACCCAGATGCCAATCCTTATCACCGATAGCATTTTACGCCACTTGGCATGCAAACAGTTATCCGACCTCCTCACATGTGGCAGTTCAAATGCAATATATTTATCTTTTTTTGCGACAAATGATAAACAGGAAATAAGTAAAGTTGGGTCAGTGTCTCGTGCCAAAACATTTTTCTTATTTGAATCTATCATGCACATTTACAAACCTATCATTCGCACGTATACTGAATAATGATGCCATATCTGGTCTGGTTCTTCAGATGTGCATCTCGCGATTATTAACAAAATCCAAAGAAGGATCTGTGATGTAAGCGAACTGACCAGGCATCTCGACTTTAATCACATTCTCACCGACGTAACATGGCTTCCCTCTGTCTTTTCTACAAATATTTTCCCGGGTTCCTTGAATACATGAATTTAAGCGTACTCCTAGATTGACATCTACGTTGTTGACATAGCGAAGTGCAATCTCCACTTCCACTCCAACAGTTTCTTTTCTCGCACTTAGCACCTGTGGAATCCCCTTCCGTTTCTTAGCTTCCATGATAACTACAATTTTCAAAAGTTTAAGTGCAATGTCACTCGCTATTTTCTGTCAACTTAAACCCCTTTCATCTTGTGTCCTTTCCTCAATCATCCCTATTCTCAGTTTTCTTTTTAACTTTCACTTTCACTTTCGCTTCCTGTAATCTCCTTTGTACAAGTAGAATTTCCAACTTGCTTGAGGTGAAATTATTTTTTTTTTAAATATCGCTGAAAATGGTACGGAATTGAGTCTTCTGTTTAATAACCATAAGAAAATTATCAAAGACGTCATCAATTTAATTGTAGCTGCTCATTACAACCAACCAGACGATAGCATTGATAACATTTTTTCAGATTCTTCATTTAAATGCAAACAAGAACGCCGAAATTCAAAGTTAAATTATAGTTTTACAATAAATTCACACATTTTTAGGCATATTAGTTTAATACAGTTTCCACAAAAAGCCATCTACATACCATCCACAATCTTAATCGTGGCAAACAGCTAGCCTTAAAACTCTTACATTTCATCAGTTATAGGTATAACGCATGCGCAAAAAAAAACCCGCCCGTTTTATTGATCCTTTATAAATCACACAGGCGTGTACTAGAATTCCAATTTTTATCATCTTTTCTTGCTATGCTTCTTTTTAGTTTAATGGCCGAATAAGATAAAATAAATATCTATTTATTATCGTCATTATTAGTGTTGTTTTTTGTAATCTCTCAAAAGTATTTTTATCGCACTACGATATCTACGCACACACGCAAATACACACACATGCTGACACACACACACGTAGATATATATATATATATATATATATATATATATATATATATATATACATCGGTATATATATATATATATATATATACATCGGTATATATATATACATCGGTATATATATATATATATATAGGTAAAACCTAGGTAGGTTTGCCTGACTTCTTAGGATTATCTTAGGTTTTGCTCTGCTTTGTGTATTGAGCCCTTTACGTAGTTGTCTTTTTACTCGTTTTGGTTTTTTTTTTCTTTGGACTCAGAGCCGAACACTGGACAGTTTGCTTTCGCCTTAGTTTAATGTTCTTGGCTCTTTCTTTTTTATTTTCCATTTTTCTTCAGGTACCGATTTGTTCTACTGCAAGTTGAGCTATCCGAGTTTTTTCAAAGTACCACCATATATATATATATATATATATATATATATATATATATATATATATATATATATATATAATAAATGGTATATATATATATATAAATGGTGGTACTTGTTTCTCATATATATATATATATATATATATGAATCTATTGAAACGGTTCCATATAAAGCAGTTTTTGATTGTATAATTAAATTTAAATATGATAAATAAAACAAAAGACAATTGTTTTTGATAAATTAAATCATTGTAATAAAACCTAACTAATCAAAGAAAGAATTACTAATAATTACTAAATTCTTGGTGCGTTATTTTTAACCATTTCTCCCCCAAGCAAGTCAATAAATCTCTTAGACGCAAGGAGCTACTGAGTGTGAGAGAATATGTGAAAAATACAGTTCAGGAAAGAGAACACTAAAGGAACAGGAATCACGAAGAAGAAAAGGTAACAAATGATTTTGCATTTGAATTTTTCAAGATCAGTATTGACTGGAAAGCAAGCCGGAATAGAGTTCCACCCACGAGAAGTACGAAAGAGGAAACTGTTAGCATAGAATTTATGACTACATCTAGCCAAATGAAAAATGATGAGACCTTACTGCCAATCTAGCATTGCGATTGCATTCATAAAGCCTTAGGACAATAGAGACAAGTTCATTATATTAATTACCATGAAAATATTTATAGAAAATGCACATTACGGCGGTGAGAAAAGAACTCAACCGAGATACCAGAAATAACGTTGCAGATTCTTCTCTGGATTTTATCAAGAATCTCTAAATACATAAATGTGGCAGAAACATTTAAAACATCGACGAATAGTAGACTTATAAATATGCAAGATAGGTTCTGGTTTAATTAATTTTAATTAATTTATCTGTCTATATCTCTGAGATGAGTTATTATGATTATTTACATTATTTACATTATTCAGAATTTTATCCTCATCTTCCTTGCCATATTCACAACATTTCGGCTGTTCTACGCTCCGGCCTACTACATCGATGGACGAAATAAAGATTTCGGTTCGAAATTCCAATCACCTGAAGAAGGCCGGACCCTACAATGGTCGAAACGTTGTGAATATAGCAATGAAGATGAGGATAACAGTCGGAATAATGTAAATAATGTAATTAATTTAATTTAATTAAACATTTAATTAATAACTAATAGTGTATCCTTTTACAGTAATACATTTCTATAATATTTTCTTGTCATTTAATTACCAAAGGAGAACTGTTTATTGCTTGGGGAGTTGTTATTTTTTCCCAGTGATTTATTATTTTCGTCCATTGAACCATTTCATAATCGGGTTTGATAATCCAATTCAACAGCTAATAGGACCTGGCTATTCCACTAAGGTGATCGGCTATTAGACTTGGACCTTCAAATTGTATTTACATATGGCGAAACCAATTTTCAAACTAAAGAGAATCGTAAAACTAAGCAATCAAATTTGGGAGTTATTAGTAACAGGGAGTGAATGCTCGATTTGAATGAGAAAGTCGTCTTTTGGTTGGCTAGCCGCTATCTGGCATATTGATTACGTGTCAAGTGTTGGGAGCAGATGTCAGCTTGCTTGTCGGCTGATTAACTGATTTAAGTTTTCGTTTAACTGAAACGGAAAACTGTGAGCTGCCGGTGTTTAGACGAACGAACACACATCAATAATATAGAGAAAGAGATCAACGCTGTTGTACCTTTCAGTGGATTTTCGACAGGGCGCTGCCTTTCTTGCGTTCAAGCTGCATCTTTCTTTTGTCTGCCGTATTTATAGTCTTTCACTTATTTGGTATTTTATTTCTTTCTGGCTTGTTTCTTCTCCGCCATTTTTTTTTCCTTTTAAAGTTTTATTTCTTTTATCATTTTTAACATTTTTCATTCTTTTTAGGGTTAATACTTTCTTTCGTGCTTATAGTTTTTTTTTTCTTTCTTTTTTGGGTTATATTTCCTTTCTTTCTTTTTTTTTTGATAATATATTATTTCTTTCTTTCTGTTTGAATCATTTTGTCTTTCTTTCCTTTTTTTTATTATATATACTTACATGCTTTTTTTAGTAATATATTATTTCTTCCTTCTTTTTTGCTTCATCTTTCTTTTTTTCTTTCTTTCTTTGTTCGTTATATATTTTTTATTTGCTTTTTTTTTTACTTTTCATCTTTATATTTAACCAATATATTTTTCATTCTTTCTTTTATTTTTGGCTATATTTTCTTTACTTCATTTTTTACTATATACTCTTTCTTTCTTATTTTCTTTCTTGGCTATATAATCGTTGCTTTGTTCTTGGTTATACAGTGTAACCCGGATATAAGAGAGTTGTCGGGACCGGAGACGAAGTCTCTTATATCCGGGTTTCTCTTATATCCAGGTTGGGTCTATTTTATATACATTAACACAGGCTCTAATTTGGGACCAGAGAAAATCTCTCTTATATCCGGGTTTCTCTTATATCCGGGTCTCTTATATCCGGGTTACACTGTATTTTTTGTTTCTTAATTATCTACACGTCCGTTCTTTCTTTCTTGCTTACATATTCTCTTTCTTTTTCTTTTTGTTATATTTTTATCATTTCTTCATATTTTTTGTTGTTTTTTTTTCTTTTTTATCCATATACTCTTTCTTTCTTTGTTTTCGGTTTTATATATTGTTTTTCTTTCTTTCATTCTTGTTATGTATATTTTCTCTTTTCTGTTGCTTATGTTTTTTCTTTGCTTTCGCTTTATTTACTTTCCTTCTTTTTTTACTAATATATCTTTCTTTTTTGTTTGCTGAAACATACTTTCTTTGTTACAGATATTCTTTCTTTCTTTTTTGATTATATATTTCCCTTTCATTTTTGGTTACATTTCTTTTTGTTGGTTTTATATTCTTTCTTTTATTTTCTTTCTTTCTTGATAATATATATTTTTTTCTTTTTTTAATTATTTCTTTTTTGGTTATATATTCTTTCTTTCTTTCTTTTTTTTTATATATTTTTCCTTTTCTCTCTTTTTCCTCTCAATTTTTTATTTTCTTTCTTTATTCGTTTCTTCCTTAGTTTTCCCCTTGTTTATCACCGTTTTTCTTTGAATCTCAAGTCCTTTTCTATTTTACTGTTCTCGTTTTTTTCTTTTTTTTTCTTTTTCTATATATTCCCTTTCATTTTTCTACCTGCTTATAGAATCTGTCCTCTCAAAGTGCTCATATTGTAATAAACCTGTGCTATTCTGGTACGGAATCATAACTGGTAAACACTAAGGGAATCGAACTCACTTCACAAGTGAATAGTCTGTCGATAGAAGCTTAC